GCATTTACAGCATTTACCTTGCAGATTTTCACGTTAATAAAAAAACCCACAATCCCTGCATGCTTAAAAACCCCGTTGATGGACTTCAAATTATTATATATACTATTTAATGCTTACTCATGTTGGCTGCTAAAACCTGGGTGTTTTTTACCCGTTCAAGACTAATCCTGTAAAAGAGCTTGTGCTTAGTGTGCCTTTGTATGAGGGACAAGCAACACTCTGAACCCTTTTTTAATCTTAAGAATGGTAGGTGTAAAGTTGTCTTGTGTCTGTGATCTGAGTGGAGGAAATGACCTGTTGTGTGCAAAAATAAATCATCTCCCTTAGAAAGGCACAAACAGCGCCAAACACTGAAAGCTCCTGAGGGAATGGATTCTTCAGCTTGGATATCTTGATTATCTAGTAACTCAAGGCACAAAGTATAGCTATGGTCAGGGAGTTTAGGCAGAAAAAAACACATTTCTTATTCAATTTTCAGCAGATTTGACTTCCTGTCCTCAGAGTATGTGGCTTATAAATTTAAGTAGATCACCTCAGTGGTTCACATTAACACAATTCCCTCCATGGTGGGGATATCATTTTAGGGATGTTGTATTTCAAAGAAAGCAAGTCTTTATTTCACTGCAGTATTTCAAAGCAGGGCAGATACATTTCCATGGAGAATTATTTTCTTTAGGAGTAGTATTGAGATGCCAGTATTGGGAAATATGAATTGATGGAAAGCTATTGAGAAACTCAACATGGAAAGAGTCACTATAACTTGTGTGAGGAGGAGCTCGATTCCAGCAACCCTTGTTTTCTCCCATGACACAAAAATAATTTTTTTTTTCCAAAGCTGCATGGATTCAGTGACTTCAGTTTGTGAAACTTTTTTTTCTTTTTAAAAGAAAAAAGAAAAAAGAGAAAAGTAAAAAAAAGGAAAAAGAAAAAAGAAAAAAGAAAAAAGAAAAAAGAAAAAAGAAAAAAGAAAAAAGAAAAAAGAAAAAAGAAAAAAGAAAAAAAGAAAAAAGAAAAAAGAAAAAAGAAAAAAGAAAAAAGAAAAAAGAAAAAAGAAAAAAGAAAAAAGAAAAAAGAAAAAAGAAAAAAGAAAAAAAGAAAAAAAGAAAAAAGTAAAAAGGAAAAAGAAAAAAAAAAGAAAAAAAAAAGAAAAAATAAAAAAGATGTGACATATATGAAAATATTTCATTATGCAAAAATAAGAAATTCTATATCTGATTAGCATTGTTAGAAATTTATGACTGAAAAATGAGCATGCAACAGCTGAGAACACATCATCACTGAAAGCTAGTTCTTGGAAGGTAGTAAATACAATGGTAAAGCCAAAAGTTCAATGCTAATTCTGCCCTAACTGCTTTATGTACATTAAAATATATCACATGGTTTGAGTTATTTTATATTTCATTAAATAGAAAGAGAAGACAGGTGAACTTGATAGTTTACACTTATTAATTAAGGAATTGTTCTGCTTGGAAAATCATCCTATAAATGATCTAACTAATAAAAAATAAAAAAAAAAAGAAAGAATGTTTGGATTTATGTATAGATTGTCATGGTATTTTAAATGGGTAGTGTCATACACTACATATTAATAAGACAATTACATTTTCAAAAGTATTGTAGCAATCTGTGTAAGTAAAGGATTGCACCTACCAATGAAGAAAAAAGCACACTGCTGTTTCCCAAGTCATCTGCTATTTTTCTAGCCCCTATGACAAATGGACAAACAAGAAGCTTGAAACACTCATGGCTTCAGTCACCTTTTGTAATTTTTAAGAGTATTCCGAAGGTCAAGACTTAAACAGACGGAGTTGTAATTTCTATTTTGGTCTGGTTTTAATTTGGGTAATCTTTCCATTAAATATAGCTATTTATGACATTTGTTAAAAGCCTATGCTGCTAATTTAGCTTTAAAAAAATCTAATGGAGTTGTATTGGAACTTTTCCATAAAATTAATGTTCCAGACTTAATGGATGTCTAAGGTATCGTTATTAACGGGAATATTCCATAAACTAAAATCAGAGTCTTTGAATTGGTGATCTGATACAGTTAGATCGGAACTTATTGGAAGCTGGAGTGATGCCAAAGTACCCAGGAATTCAATTTAGACACCTTATGGAGGTTTATGCTTTTATGGTATTTACTTTAATTAGTGTTTTATTAAACGCTCAATTTCACTCTCATACTTGGGCAGGAGTAGGGGCCAGCCTGTGGGTAAAGCAAGTATGACAGAGCTAAGATCACTTTCCTCTCTCTACATCTGTCAGAAATACCAGTCTTTTCCATGATTTCTAGGGTTATATTGCTTTTGGCTGTATTACCACATTGCTGAAAATGTCACATAAATTCATGCTGAGTATCACAGGCAATGCCATGGCCAAGCAAAAATACATCACAAATCATAGGCCTCTTTACAGAGTTTTGCTTAAAGATTCACTTCTATCAGTCCACACTCCTTGGTAGTGTAAATATGGACTATCTAAATATATAACTAACTAAATGGACTATCTAAATATATAACTATCCAAAATTCATGGGGTGCTCACATGCTTTGCCTTCCATTCCATGCTGAATTTAAAATTCCCATTTTATCTGGTTAATTACATAATGTGTTTTCATCCCATGGGCAAGGAATGGATTGTCACTGAAGAGAACTCCCAGCATAAAAGAGGTTATTCTTTTGCTTTGGGGCTGGTCCTAGGCCAAGAAAATCTGATTTTGTCGTTGTTGACTGCAAGAGGCTTAGAAACAATTTCTCACTCCTTGTTTTATCAACAGCAAAAGTACTGAAATAAAAAATAAAATTTAAAAATGTACAAAATTAATTTTGTATTGTCATTTACAAAGCAGTAAATAAATTGTTGGGCTATAAGAAATTCTCATGTACCCATGGCACACAGGGGGTGACTGTATTTATCATACCCTTCAGACTCATGTCTGATCTGTATGCAAAAAATGAACTCCATAAATATTAACCTTCATACTGACATATCAACTTTACAAGGCCAGTGTACTTAGTTTTTTAAGATGAAAAATATACAAAGTATATCTGTTATTTCTTCACCTCTGGAGTGAAATTTAATTTAAGATATATCTACTTCTACCCAGAGACAATAATGATTCCAATGAGAACCAAAGTCACATTTTCTTCACAGAGAGAACTCAATGATATTCTCTCATGCCGTGGCACCCTGGGGCTCAAGAAAGAGGTGTAACCTTGTATGAAAATCAAATTCTGAGCTTTCAATTATCACCTAACATAGACAGGTGTCATTATATTCTATTTTCTTCTGCAGTGCCCCTGAACTCAGTAGGCACTTTTAGCAAAACCCTGCAAACAGGGAGGCAGATGTTCTCTCTTAATTCTCCTTTCAGGTTCACCTTCTTGTGTCCAGACTAGACCATTTGCACACATGTGCACACACACGTTAATAAACACAAGGGAGATGAGAGGAACATTTAAATACTCGTTCTCAGCACGGACTCACCAAAAACAGCCACGTGCAAGGCGTGGACCTCGCCACACTTTAGTGCACGTGGACACTTCTCGTGAGGGAAGCTGCTGAGTGACCTTCCAGCATTCCTGCTATTCCCTAGCAACAGCAAATGAGGAAAGAAATGAAAAAGTATAAGAACCCTGATATTTACAATACAATTCTGAAACAGAAGAATACGCACATAGGCAATAAAACTGAGTAGTTAATGAAGCCTAGATAAAGTTCACACTCTACCTTATCCCCTAGAAAATTATTCACGTGCTTGACTCCACATATACTTTGGAATTAATTCTTGTCTTCACAAATAACTTTTCTAGTCTTGATCAAAACACTCATTGTGCTGTACTCCTTACATCTAAAAAAATTAAGGCCATACAATTTGAGAGGAACTGGACTGGCTACTTCATTCATGGTTATGAAGTGACTATTTATTGAGAAAATATTGTATAAATATTTAGATGCCTATCTGATGTTACCAAGAGATACCCATGTGCACTAGGAATGAAATGAAAGAAAAATTAAAGGGATACAAAATTTAGAAAGGATTCATCTACAAGTTAAGAGAGAAGAAGGAAGCTTTTAAAAATAAAGAAAATATCAGGAAAACTAAACAGCACTTTTTACCTGAAAAAGAAAAAAAACTTAATATATGGTATAACAGATAAGCAATGAGATAAGAAGAGTAGAATAGATTATTAGTAATAGAAAATAGTAAAAATAAATAGATAAAATAATTTCTATAGAGGAATTTTTACACAAAGAAGGATTTTTTTCTTATCTGAAGGGCTGTAAAATCAGGGTCACCCAGCACCACTGCCTCCTTCAATAAAGGTATGCAACACCTACAGTGTAAGGTACCTTTCCTTCAGTCATTCCTGCTGGTAATTTTTTGACACCTGAACAGCTCCCAGCCCAAGGATTTGACCAGAAGGATGTCAAGTACAGTTTTGCTCTAAGGTCCATCTGGCTGCCAGGGGTGCTAGACCTACAACACAGTTTCAGTAGGCAGAAGCTAATCCCACAATTTCTTAAGTGACACAAAGGTCTGAAGATATTTTCTCAGCTCAATATTTAAAAGTATTGTAGCATTTGCATTTCAATCCTCATGTTCACTAGCCCAGTGCTCTTACAGGACAGAAAGATGCCACACACAGGATCTTCTGGCTATAAATAAACAGCAATCTGACAGCTCTGTGCAGGATATAGAAATACTGCATTTAAGAGCAGGATACTGCACAGAGCAGACAATTGCCACATCAGGGCCTTTTATTACAATGAGAACTGTCCTTGCTTGAAATACCTCATCTTTTATGGGACAGAGCAGCAGCTAAGTGCTTAGGCAAGGCTGTAATGTTTTCTTCTAGACTCTGGCTGAGAGCCAATGCTCTTATGGCAGAGAGTAGTAGTTTAGTGTGGTGTATTTCTACATATTGACCCAAAGACTGTCTGCCCCAGCCATAACCTGAACATGATTACATCCTTCCCCCTCTGTAAAAATGGGGAAGTATATAAAATTCTTACCAGACTGAAGGAGTAGATGAATATCCTTGCCAGGTTTCTTCAACCAGGATTAACAAGAGCATGGGAAGGCCTGCATGTGAGCAGGTGTCCATGATGGCATTGATATTGCTTGAGGCGTGGCTGAGGAGCACCAGGACAATTCAGAAAATGGTAAAAAGGTATCTCATACCTGTATGGCCCCACCTTTCCAGGGAGGGCACAGGAGTGTAGCTGAGAGGCCAAGCAAGCATTGCACACAAACAACACACAGTGAGGCAGGAAAGAAATTTAAGGATGAGTGCTATTCTGTGGCACTGAAAGGCTGGCAGCCCTCGCTCCAGCTCTGGGCTTCTTGTCTAGATGATATTTAAAATATTCGGCCCCCTAAAGCACACAAAAATTCATGCCCTGCTGGTGGCCTTCTTGTAGGTTTTGTTATTAGCAATGGTGATTTGGCCCTGGGCAGGGTATATTAAAGCAATCCTTGTAATCTGGATGCCAGGGAACAACAGAGACTGAAAAATCTTCCTCCAGTTAGACAAAATATATCTAATCCTATAATAGCTGGCATGAGGTGTTTGGCAGACATCCCAGAGTGAAGGACAGAGCTGATCAATATTAAACATTCACAAGAAAATGGAGCAAGCCAGCAAGAAAAGATATAGGAGGTAGCCCTTATTTTGAAAGAAGAGGAAGTGCTAAAGCTAAGGGAAGCAGAATTTCTATGTGGACTAACTCAGTTAAAAGCAATTTTTTCATTTGGATGGTAAGGCTTTTGAACATGATTAACTATGAGCACAGATTTCTACCTAACTGTCTTAGGTCTCTCTAGAGTACAGCCTTTGCCAAACCTCTTCAAATTCCACAGCTTAAATATGACATTCTTTTTAAGAAAAGAGCTCTACAGATATTATTTTAGTAAGGTTACTGCATAGATTTTCTTCTATATCCTTTGTGCAAAAGAGAAGGAAAATAAAAGGAAAAAAAAGAGAAAGAAGGTAGAAACCTGCCCTCTAGAACTTTAAAACTTGATGAAGGAAGGAAAGTAAAAGGAATCAATTAAAGAAAAAATACATCAAGTTAGCTTGTATCAAAAATGTGTAGTTTTTCAAATGCTACTCCAAAAATTCCATTCAGAATAGGATCATTTCTTAATTCATTCACACAAGGACAGAATATGATCCATGCCATTCTAAATCCCCAGGACTGTTTATATTTCTGTCACAATTAAGTTCATCTGTGCTTTGAATTTAATTCTCTGTTCCTTAGGCTTGGAGCCTCTCATTCAAGCAAGCCCATTCAGAACAGATCTGTAGGTCTTAAGTTAGAATTCTGTGGCACAGAGCTGTTTCAGACTGTAATGTTACACACAGGAGCTAAAAAGAGACTGAATATAAATAAATATTATATCAAGTGCTACAAGGTTGGCTTGTGAATTTCTTAATGTTCCACCTGACTTTCTACGCTTCATTTTATATGCCCTCAATTTAAACTGGGGTCTGAGGTTTCCTTACATGCTTCTAGTCGCACTCTTTCTAGTGTTTTGGATGCCAGACTCACATATTTCAGATGTGTACCTTGCATGCAAAAGAAAGAATATTCAAATAACACTTCAGAATGTCAGCCAAGCATATTTCCCTCCAAACTCATCAGCTCATGCTGTTTCTTTTGCACTCCTCCTGACTAAAATGTACTCCAGTCCTTTTGAGTGGTTCAGAGTGACTGGAAAACCTGGAGTCTCCCTTACCTTGTGAGGACAGGAATGAGAGGCAAACCTTCAGTCACAGCCCCTGAATAAAACAGGAGATTCCAACCCTTCAGCAGGAATGAGACCAGTATTTCAAATGAAGTTTTTCTTGACCACCATGAAAAAACAGTGGATGGAGGTGATTCAGGAGTCTTGATGTGAGAAATGGGACACCTCTCCACATTTGCTTTTACCAGCAGAAGATGACAATTAACTGTTCAGCATGTCAGAAAGGGCAGTGCTTTTGTGATGCTTATCTCCAGTTTTTGCAAGGAACAATCTTAAAATTTCCTCTCCATGAATGTTTTTCTAAGTTTTTACATAATACCTTTGACTTCCCTGCTCACACTTGGCCAGTAAAGGGAGCCAAATTAAAAGGCATGACCCAGGCAACAGACAACTTTGTGTGCTCCTGTTCTCTGTAAACATAATCCTATTTCTACTCACTTCACTGGAACTAAATTCCCTTCCAGGGGGTGTCCCTAATCACACAACTCCTGTGTTGAGGTAAGCCTCAGCAGAAACCTTAAAAAGCCTCTGCCATCTACTAAGAAGGTCACTTCATATGGGAGAAAGATTCTGTACCAACTAGTAACAACTAAAATACACTTTTCTAGCTTTCCTGTGTGTTTTCTTTCTCTACTTAATTTTATTACAGCAGAGAAAAAGTAAAAACCAATCAATAAACCCTTTAATCACATAGGAATGAAGGGAGACAAGTGAATGTAACTTAATAGATGCTGTAAAATTCCAAAGAAAATTTAAAGAAACTAGGTGGAATCCTGATAAATTTTGTTGCTTTATATCTTGGTGAATGATAGCTCTGGGAACAAAATTACAGCAAGATTTGTCAGTTAGTCAAAATGGATGTTTGTAATTATGAAACAAAGTGAGTTTTAATTTGATTGTCTCAAAATAGAAAACAGAACATAAATACAAACTTTCATGGGAGATACTAGGGACAGAAAATAAATCATGATTGTTTTCAAAGACTCCAAAGAGAGCAGAGTATTTTAACATGTGCTCATTTTCAGGATTTAAGAGGCAAGAGATTTTTATTTACATTACCTGTAGAAACAATAGAGGGGATGTTGGACACTCTGATAAAGACTCTTCTAATCCTCACATTCTTGTTTCACCTGAACAGACGAAATTCATAGCCTGGTATAATTGCATTCATAGTGATAATTGATGAAAATAGTACAAATACCACATGGAATTCCAGAATTCAAAACAAAACAATTGACTTTACCTTGAGACACCTTAAATAGCAGGAATATATCCTGCTACTCCAAGATTTTTTCCTGTTCCAGTGCTAACACTCTTAATCAATTTGCTCTGTTAGGTTCCATGGCATTCTATTCAGCTGTGGAGCACTATCACAATTCACAGATAAATTGTACGTGACCTCTGTAAAACAAAACATCCGCTCTGTCACTTCAACAGTTCCTCCTTGTGTGGCATATCTAATATTGACTGTATATAGAACCTGAACAGCCTGTTTATTCTACACCATTCCAATGGCTTGCCCAGGTCCTTAAGGCTTCTGAGTATTCTCTAGCTCTCTTAGAGGATGTCTAGCTTCCAGCTGTGACTATTGCAAAAGCAACAAAAGAGCTTGATGAAGGTGTGGCTGTGGGATTTCCTAGCTCTTCTCATGTCTATTCTCTCAAAGTAAGGTGGAATGTATGTTAAGAAGCTCAAGATAAGAACAGTAAGTACAGTTGGTAGGATCTGGGAACCAGAAACTGGAGAATGCCTGTGGGAAATTCACACACTTAACAGTCCCAAGCAACCTGATATGATACCTTTAACATGAGGTGGGTGAAGTCACAGTCTGCTGAGATCACCAGTCAGCTCTCAGCCTCCTGGGGTATTAATTGCAATCAAGGGGCCAAAAGCAGCTTGATTGCTTTTGTAGGGCTGATAGGAGACCAGCAACGTGTTCTTTCAGAAAGCTCCAGTTTTTATGAATCTGTCTCTTCAGCACTAAACAGTTCTGGGAACAGTTTTAACCAGTTGTGTAGTTATACTTTGGCTTAGGAAGCAATGAATTTTAGGCAGGAAACAGAAATTTGTGTATTTCTTCAGGAACTCAAAGTAATTAACAACAATACCAAAACCTCAGAAACTATATGGCAGAAAACTAAAGCTGCTTAGGCAAATTCTGCATTAGAAATTTAAGTTTCACTGTTACAAAATCTGAAAACTTCTGACAAACTCTGTCAGGCCCTCGAACATTGTGATGAACAGCAGGATGATCCATGCTTCATTTATCCTCTTGTCTCCACTCTCATTAGTACTCAGCATAGGAAAAATTAACTGCAATGGTAATGTCATATGCAAAACAAAAAAGTTTTGCAAACAGAAGGAGGATTCCACCCTTTAGAAAAGTTCTTTCAAGTAATGAAATCAGCAGAGACTACCATTTTAATCTCACAAAAAAGAAATACAAAAATGGATTTATTCTTCTCCCTGCCATGTAGAGAAAATATCAGGCTGTTTTCTCCCCAGTAATGCTCTCTTGAGACCCTAATCATTCTTGCAGAAAACACTGCTTTTCATGTGCCTAGTAGACTTTTGCTTTCCTAGGAACCTCTCTTCCACCTGCATTCCTGATACTTCACAGATTCCATCTGCTGAAGCTGAAAGGCAAAGTTTCCTCCATTCCTGAGGAAGCACTGATACAGCCCCATTAGCCACTATATTTGGAAATATCTGCAGATCCCTTGGAGCACTTCTGAGCTGTGTTTGGCAGCAGCACTTGAGGGTCTTCACACACTTCTGGAATGCAATTTCTTCAATCACAAAGCCATACACTTTGTAGCGTCTCTCCACAGCCTTAAATGTACTACTTCAGCTCACAGCAGACCTGGGTAGATTACTGCAGAAGAGGTGAAACCTGGTCCAGCTGATTACCAGGGTGTTGGCCACTGGGACATTCTGGCCTCTTTAATTGCCTTTAAGGAAGCTGTGGTTTCTAAGAAATCAAGTTGATCACATTGGATGAAATATATGAAACAATCCTACATTTGTGTTATCAGGAGAATCTCATCTATATATTGCCCTTGAGAACTTGCAACTAGTTGTTTCTGAGATGTTGTTTGAGTCAAATTCTGATAACTAATCATTTAATTGATATCACAGAAAAACATATCAGCTATGCACTAAATATACTCTAGTACTTGGGATATTTTGTTAATAAGTTCATTTTTTATTCTTAACACAGCTGATCATGGTAGATGGATTGATGGTGTATTTTGGACCTACCAATTTTGGACCCCTTAGGAATTCTGCCAAATTTTACCCACAGCTGAGCATCTGAGCACATCAGTCTCCTCATTTCTTGGGCTTTAATATGTTAGTAAAAGGGAGAAGTTCCTGGTTTGGTCTGAATCCCTCCTCCATTTTAGAGCCACTTTTTGTTCCAAAAGTGAATGTAGGTTTTGCTTGTTTCCCATTTTAAACTGAACTACATGACTCAGGTGGTGTCTTTGGAGGGGAAATAGCTAATCCTTAAAAGAGAGACAGAAAGAGGGAAAAGAGAGGAAAATTCTAGAGTAAAGAAGGAAGAACTCTGATTTGCAAATGAGTGCACCATTGTGTGAAACAAAGTTACAAGCTTGTATGTGTTCTTAAATATATAGATTCCTAAATAAAAAAAAAAACAGCCTAATTTTTCAAATACCAAGTATAATTTGGGGATAATTTATTTGCAGCATAAGACTAGAGACATTGAAGAATGAGCCAATAGGTTCTGAACTTCTGATGAAAATCTTGGGTTATTAGCCAAGAACAGAAACCAGAAAAGAACTGTATTTAACACATCTGTAAGTCAGGGTGACACATGCAACCATTGAATCCATTCCAGTTCATGGAGTTCCAGCTTGGTTCCTGCTATTCTGTGTATTAATTGCTTATTTACTCTCTGATCTAATGTAATTTCTTTCCCTGTCTAAAGCTCTGGAATGGTCAAACCACAGCAACTTATCCAGATTTTAAACAAAATCCAAAATTATTATTGACCAAAAGGTTCTTATAATACTTAATAATCTTCAATAATTTAACAACAAAAAAAGTTCTTTCATTTTCCTCACCCTTTGTTCTGCAAACTCAGAAGCATCTGCTCTCCTACTCAGATGTGTCAATCTATCTGAAGCAGTAAGATAATAGCTGCTTTCAGGCACTTTAAAAAATATTGAAAATTAATGGAAGTTACTATATATCTGATATTTTGTAAATATCATAAATACTTGTCCCAGAATAAAGAGACTCATAGTTTATCCTGCTTTAAACTAGTTTTTGCAGAGGGTTAGAAGGAGATGAAACTGCATTCATTGCATCTTCTAGATTTTTATCTATTTCTAATTGTTTTGGTCTGTGGTTAACCAGACAAAATATGCTGTATTTGGGTGAAAGTAAGGAAGCATCACTGAGGCCAAGTTAACCTTTAATGAATTCCTTAATAAGTTCACACAAATAAATAGAATTAAATTGATTTACACCCTGTAAGAATCTGACCAGAGACTCTGAAATAGCAACTCTGAATGAGCACAGGTAAATGCACAGGGTATGAAATACCCACCTAGGGAGAAAGGGATGGTGATTTCCACCTGCCTGAACAAGTCTCCAACAAAGCTGTTTTTGCAGTATTAGTTTCATGTTTCCTTCTCACTGCTGGTTGTGCACTGATTATATGTTTCATTCCAAATATTGAATGAACTTCTGGAATTTGGTCAGATGCTTGGTGTCTTTGCTGGTCCAGCAAAATAAGTTGAATATGATCAACACAGAACTCACTTTTGCTTTACATTTTCATTGCTCGAAGGTCCTTCAACTAGAAAGCTGGCTTGTCATCTATTTAGCTTTGATTTCTTTTCTTTAGGGTTGGACTGATATTTTTTTCTGCCTGACTGGAAAAGGATGCATCGAGGCATATTTCTGAAATCAGAGGATATGTACATTACAGTAAAGCAGTAAGTACATAGCCAGCAAGAACATTCCAGGTACAGAATAAAGAGCACAGTGGGAAGCAGTTACAAGCAGATCTTAAAGGATCATTTCTTTTCCTACAACCTTCGGTGTCAAAAATTGTTCTCCTGGCAGTTTGTCAGAGGGCATGTTAGGATGATGTGTTCTCAAAATAACCTAGAAAAATAAAAGGTCTGCTTCACAACAATTTTATTTGGCAGATGTAATTTAAAATATTTGCATGTGGGATGCTTGGTCTAAGGACAAAAAAGAAATGTTATCAATCAATGTAGTGCCTGGCAGACAATAATTATACACAAAGCATACATGAATCCAGACATGTCCCCAAAGCCAGAAGGCATTGCCAGGAGCATTCTTAGTTTTTCATTTCTGGCTTTTCTGTGAGTAGAACATAGTAGGGGATCCAATTCACATGCAAGGAAAATGTCATTCTACAGTACCTGAGACTAAGCCAAGAGTCAGCCCTCCTTACACAGCAAACTGTGCTTATTGTTTTATTTGCCAAGATGCATGAAACTCATTTTTTTGAAGTCTCCAGAGATAAAGTGCTCAATTGGTCAGCGTGGTTTAGTCTGTGGTTTGACAAGCGAGCACCACATGGTCACTCAGTCCCCACTGATTCTGAAAGAATCAGAAGAACAAAAGCAGCAATGTCTTTGCAACAACTTTATGCATGAAAACACATCCATTTTAGGAAAGTAAAAGTAATGGCCAATTCTGGAAACACTATTTTGGACAAATGCTGTTGAGCAAATGAAATTACGGTACCTCAGCAGCTAAGGACAATTACCAAGTATTATGTTTTATTCATGTAATTTACTGATGCCTTTGACCAGTCTGACATTATGAAGATTGAGTCAGTCAGAATTTATAGACAACAAGCAGAGTCAATGACATCTTGCCTCGTTAAGAAGAAATGTTGGATCACTAAAGAAATATGTTTAGCCATTTGCCTGTCAAATCCTGGTTTTTAAAAATCCTCAGAGCTGATTTCTCCTCCTGAGTGAGTAGGCTTGACATTTATTGTCACTGTCTTCCACCTCTGGCTTGACTTGGTGGCATGATGGAAACACCAGGTACTGTGCTTTGATACAGGGCCAGGATGATCTTAAGGATGTGCAACCACATGCAAGCTCACAGACCCAGCTCTGAGCTAAAGCATGACTCCCTGACAGAGTAATTTACTGAAATTCAATGCTTTAAATTTAATACCCTAACAAGTTTCCTTTATACCCATTATTATAGGGGGGCTTTCAGGTCAAGAAAGCAATCAGGGATTCAGATATTTTAGATATAAAGGGGTCAGAGAAATGCCATCATGCCTTGAATATATTTGGGAATGTTGTATAGAACCCATTTTAAGTCAATACACAGATGCCAAAATGATTTTGTCTTATAGAACAAACATCT